CCCCTCCATCCATTCTCTCATCCACCCCCCTTCCCATCCCCCCATCCATCCATCCATCCGTCCATCCATCCATTCACCCATTCAACCATCCACTCATCTATCCATTCATACACCCACTCTTACACCTATCCATTCATCTATCCATCCATCCAGCTATCCTTCCATCCACCCACTCATCAATCAATCTACCCACCCATCCACTTATCTACCCCTCTATCCATCCATTCACCCATCCCTCCATCTACCCATCCATCCAGCTGTCCTCCCATCCATCCACCCACCCATTCACCCATCCATCCATCTACCCATCCAGCCATATGGACGCTGGCCACATCCCATCCATCCATCCATCCACCATCCATCCATCCATCCGTCCATCCATCCAACCATCCAAACAGCCATCCAGCCATCCCACCCATCCATCCATCCACTTGTCCGTTCCTCCATTCAGCTATAGGACACATGCATTGACTCACTGAGAGAGACACGGAGAGAAAGAGAGCGAGAGAAATAGAGAGTGAGAAATCACCCTTCTAGGGGGAGATGGCCACACTGCACTCCCTTCTCCTCCATTCTCCTGGGATTTGGGCACACACACACACACACAGAGGCCCAGTGTATGTCTCAAGTCACTGGGTCTGGGACTCAAACTGTGCAGCTGGCATGTGAGATCCAACTGCCTTAACTACCCCACCTGCTGGTCCTGTTTTTATATTTTTCCAGGACCGCCCTCTGTGAAGTGTTCTTAATCGTTCTTGTCTTACTCCTGGAAGTGGGTATCTGGTCTTGGTTCTGCCTGGCCCCACACCTGCTCAGGAAACCCTGGGGGTACCGGCCATCCTCCTCCATGTGCCTGTGCCCAGGTGACATACCTGGAAAGGAAATTGATGTCGGACCGGCCCCAGTGGTATTGCTGCTTGAGGTGAATGTCCTGTGGAACGGAGGGAGAGGCCCACCTGCAGCAGGAGCTCCCTCAAGGCACCCCAGGTCAGGACGAGCAGCACGAGGGAGAGATGAGGTGTCGGTGGGGGCTGTGAAGGGAGGAGCCTGGATGCTTTCCAGGTCTGTCTGTCTATCTATCTGAGAGATTTTTCTATAGGGTGTGTATGCTTGCTGGAGGGACACAGAGAGAAAGTGAAAAATCACCTCCCAGGGGGATGGCCAGAACACAATCCCTTCTCCTTCATTCTCCTTTCATAAAATTTGCTATACAGTATGAGGCTGCTAGGTGGCGTGGTGGTTAAAAGCACTGGACTCCCTCATGGGCGACCATGGTTCAATTCCCGAACCTGGTGGCTTGCTTTCTCACTTTCCTGTCTCTGTTCAAACTAGAAAATAGTAACAGTAAATAAAGTAAAATAATTTTTTATTTTACTTTATTCATTTATTCATTTATTTCAATTTGACCAGAGAGGGACAGAGTGAGAGAGAGAGAGAGAAAGTGAGAAAGCAAGCTGCCAGATCCAGGACTTGAACCACAGTCAGCCATGTGGGAATCTAGCGCCTTTAACCACCACACCACCTGCTGGCAATAAAATAATTCTTAAAAAAATTTTTTGAAGGGGGAGGAGGGGTGAAGGCAGCAGGTAGCATGGTGGTAAGATGCTGGACTCCCACATGGTCAGCCACGGTTCGAGTCCCGGACCTGGCAGCTTGCTTTCTCACTCCCCCGCTCCCACTCGGTCCCTCTCTGGTTAAATTAAAATAAATAAATAAAGGTAACTAAAGTAATTCTTTAAAAACATTTTTTTTTTTTTTTGCCATAGGGTTCAAGCACACACCAGAGAGGGAAATTGAGAAATCACCCCCACCAGGGGGAGAAAGGCCACACTGCAGTCCCTTCTCCCCTATTCTCCTCTTGGGATTTTGGCACACACGCACGTGTGCCCAGCATGTTTTTCGAGCTGCCGGGTCTGGGACTCACACCACGCTATCACCCACGTGAAATCCAGTGCCTGTATTTTAGCTCCGCTGCCCACGAAGTTCCCTGGGACTGCACGGACCCACTGGGCCTTGCTGTGCGTTTCCGTTTCTCCCCTGAGCTTGCTCCGGGGTCTCCCCTCACTCAGGTGCGATGCGCTGTGGGCATGGCAAAGACTGTTGTGGGGGCCCACAGGTGACACAGCGGTTAAGGCGCTGGACTCCCACAGGGCCAACTGTGGTTCGAGACCCGGACACAGAGGCTTGAAACTCATGCTGTGTGCACTTGAGTACACAAATCCCAAGAAGAGAATGGAGGAGATGAGATTGCGGAGTGGCCATCTCCCGTCGGTGGGTGGGGCTGGTCTCTCTGTCTCTAGCGAGCACACATGCGCCCTACAGCAAAAATCTCTCTAGGAAAAAAAAAAAAAGACTGTCGTGTCAGGCCTAGCCCCCAAGGTGCATGCTGCGGAGACTCTGGATTCCACAGGCTGGGACCTTGTGAGAGGCCCAGGTTCAATTCCTGGTCCCTCCTAAAGACCAGGGGCAGAGCCTGTAACCCCAGTGAGGTTGAGGCAAGAGGAGCCAGAGCCCAAGGCCAACCTGGGGGGGCCGAGCGAGACCCCTTCTAGGGAAGAGCCAAGTGTGGAGCGCGCCCGGGGCCCCAGCTGGGATGCCGGGGCAGGAGGAAGGCGCGTTGGTCTCGTGACTCCCAGCGGGTCAGGCTCTTGTGGGAGCAGCCCAGGCTCCCCGGGGGACTCCAGACCCGCATTTGCTCAAGGCCCTCCTGCCCCCACGGCTCCCCTCAGTCCCAATGCCTGAGTTTACCCAGTTAGCCCAGGTCTCGCCCTCGCCAGGCCCAGGCCGGCGGGTTCAGGGCCTGCCCGGACATCTGCACCTCTGTGTGTGATGCTTTAATGTCATCGTGGTGAGTGGTGGCTATCTGCCTGTCTTCGCTCCTGGGCTAGGGGGGCGGGACGGGCCCCTCCGTGGGAGGGAGGAAGGGGGCGGCTCACCAGCTTATACTTGGCGTTGCCTTGCCAGGTGGTACCGAAGTCATAGAAGTTGGCCTGCAGCCCCAGGGCGTGCGGGTTACTCACTTTCACCTGGGGGGGATGGCAAAAGAAGTTCACGTGTGCAGAGCCGGCCAGCAGCCTGCGGTGACTGCCTCCGCCCCACACTGGAGGCTCTCCTCGCCCGCCCGGCCACCTGCCCCAGCTGTGGCCTCTGAGCATTTCCAGGACTGGGAGGTGACACGTGGAAGTACCACCCCCCCGCCAATGGGAAGACACTGTCCAATCAGCAAGGGCCCTCCTCTCCCCTGCCCAGGGACTCACACCAACCACCAAAGCCCCACACCCCGAGTTCTCAGCTCCCCGCCTGGACTTAACTGCCCCTGAGACCTCTGGACTTGGACAGAGCCATGCTGCCGCCTGGGGGTGGGGGGGGTTTCCCAGCTGCCAGCATGGAGTGGTCCGCAAAAAGCCCCCCTCACTTTTGTTTGAGCTGTCACAGGGCGTGTGCGCTCGCCAGAGAGAAGCCCACTCCCCCGCAGGGCGCGGCCTCACTGCAATCCCTCTCTGTCTCCACCCTGTTGGGATTTTGGACACACACGCACGTGTGCTTAGTGGGTTTTATTATTTTATTTAGAGGGGTATGTGTGCTTCCCAGAGAGAGACAGAGACGGCGAGAGGGGAAGTGAGAAATCGCCCCCCACCCCGAGGAGGGTGGCCACGCTGCAATCCCTCATCCTTCGTTCTCCTCCTGGGACCTCAGGCACGCACACACATGCGCCCAGCATGAATTTCAAGCCACCAGATCTGGGACTCGAACCGCAGTTGGTTGTATGGGAGTCCAGCGACGTAACCGCTGCATCAACTGCTGGTCCTACTTGGTGTGGGTTAAAGCCACCAGGACTCAAGCCACGGGCAGCCACGTGGGTTCCAGCTTCCTTTGCCACCAGGCCACAGAGCCGGCCCAAACAGAGACAGTTCCCATGGAGCTTGGCTCCTTGGGGCGGAGCCAGGGACCCCCCTCCCCCGTCTGGGAATGGGCACAGGGCTCAGAGGAGAGGGTGCATGGGATGCCGGCCAAGTGCGCGGGCGACTGCTTACCATCGGAATGAGGGTGGCGCCTGGCCGCGGGACCACCTGGGCGGACAGCCTCAGCTCGCTGTTCATGTCGATGGTGAATATCTGGCCTTGGAACTCTCCTTCCAGAAGCTCTATCTAGGAGGTGGATGAGCAGACCCCATCAGGCCTCTGTCCCCAAGCACGAGCAGCGGGGGCGCAACTCGGGGTGTGGGGCTCCGAGGACGGAACTCTCCTCTCTTCCCAGCGCAGCCGAGACCCCGTCCCCCACCCCCAGCTCGCCCTCCCTGGTCCTGTGTGCACCTGGCATTCAGGGACATCCCAGGAAGCAAACCCAGGACCTTCCCATGTCGCTGCAGGTGTGTCGGTGCTGCTGGGTCACACCACGCTTAGTTATCTGACATTCAGAGCTTTTTAAGACTTTGATTTTTCCCCTTAGGGTGTGTTCACTCACCAGAGACAGAGACAGAGACAGAGAGAGGGAAAGTGAGAAATCACCCCCCAGGGAGGATGGCCACGCCACAATCCCTTCACCTCCATCCTCCTCCTGGGATCTTGGGTACGTATGATTTTCAAGCCACTGGGTCCAGGACTCGAACCCCATGTGGGAGCCCCCGGGTATAACTGCTATGCCATCTGCTGGCCCCAGTTTTGCTTGTTTTTGTTTTGCTATCGAGCGTGACAGTGAGAAAAAGGGAACATGAGAACCCCCCAGAGGGGCTGGCCCCCTGCAATCCCTTCTCCTCCATTCTCCTCTCAGGATTTTGGGCACGCACGCACACATGCCTAGTGTGTTTATCAAGCCGGATCTGGGATTCAAACTGTGTAGTCAGCCATGGCAGATCCAGCCGCCCCAAACACCATGCGAACTACGGGCCCTGAAATTCCAGTTTCACTGGGAGTCTTTTATTTGCGAACCCCCAAATGTGTGTGTGTGTGTGTGTGTGTGTGTGTGTGTGTGTGTGCATGTGTGTATGTGGAGGAGTGTGTGTAATGTGTGTGTGAACACGTGTGCACGTGCATGTGTGTGCGTGGTTGCTGCTTGCAAACACCCATCCCTAGAACTTTTTTTAAAAAAAATTATTTTACTTAGCTTTATTTATTTTTGCATTTTGACCAGAGAGGGACAGAAGAGAGAGACAGGAGAGAGCGAGCGAGCGAGCGAGCGAGAGAGAGAGAAAGCAAGAAAGCAAGCCACCAGGTCCGGGACTCAAACCATGGACAGCCATGTGGGAGTCCAGTGCCTTAACCACCACGCCACCTGCTGGGGCCCTCAACACCCCGAACTGTAGATCTTTTGTCTTTTGTTTATTTATTTTTTTAGAGGTTTTTGCTATAGGCCATGTGCACTCACCAGCCAGCCAGAGACAGAGAGACAGAAAGCAAGAAATCATCCCCCAGGGGGGTGGCCACGCCACAATCCCTTCTCCTCCATTCCCCTCTCAGGATCTTGGGCATGCACGCACACGCACCTGGCGTGAATTTTAAGCCACCAGGTCCAGGATGGAAACCGCGGTCGACTACGTGGGAGTCCAGCTAACTGCTGGTCCCTTGTTTAGTTTTTTATAGTTATTATCTTTTTAATTTGACCAGAGAGTAAGAGAGAGAGAAAGTGAGAAAGCAAGCTGCCAGGTCCGAGACTTGAACCACCGCTGGCCACATGGGAGTCCAATGCCTTAACCGCCACGCCACCGGCAGACACTGAACTTGTCTCTGGTGAAAAGAGCACACTGAACCTGGGCCTAGATGGTGCTGAGCACGTACTCTGCACTTGTCAGCCTTGAGCTGGGGATCCATGAGAACCTTCTGGACGTTCACCAGGCATTTCTGGAAATCGAAGGCCGGGGAAGCCGGGTCCTGGAGTGGGGTCAGTATCTCAACCATCCCTGCGTCCACGAACATCACCGCTGCCTCCTGGGACCAGATGTGTTGGTCTACAAGCTAGGAAAAAGGGGGGCCAGCAGGGGGTGTGCTGGTTAAGGCTCCGGACTCCCACTTGGCGGACCACAGTTCGAGTCCCAGACCTGGGAGTTGGAAACACGTCAAGTGTGTGTGTGTGTGTGTGTGTGTGTGTG